ATAGTTTTTTCAATATCAACGAATAAATTAATAAAGATCAATTGATTTGAATTATAAGATATCTCTCTTGTTTTAAAATTTATTTTTTATAAATTAATTCACATTACTTTAGACTCGTCAATTTTATAAAATTATCATTCATAAAAAGAAACATATGAACAATATTAAAGAAATAGAAGTTTATTAATTAATTATAATTAATTATAATTATATGTTATAATTAATTATAATTAATTATAATTGTATGTTATAATCAATTATAATTGTATGTTTTATATATAAATTAAGTAAAAAGAGCTTTAATAATCTATTATTACATATTACTGCTTGAGAAATGCAATGTCAATAATGACACGAATGACGCACGGCATTCGTGCACATGTCTTTGATCATTGTCACTTAAAACGAACCAACTTCTTCCGCGACACCAAATTTAGAAACCGAAAAGGTCAAACAAGTCGCCAAGTCTCGCGGCACTCGGAAAACGGATCGCCTTGTTTTTCCCAAAAGCTCCCCTTCGTGAAAACTTAACAATATATTTTTCTTTCTATTGTCGTACCTTAAAATAAGAAAGATGATTTCTGGCTTCGTCCTCAGCGTCAATCGCATGTTTAATCATATCATCTCTTGTGTAAGGTTGCACTTTCTTAGTTTCCCATAAAACTCTACCGTCAGACCAGGGTAATTCAGGTAATTCTATTCTTTTTTAAACTCCGGTGAAGTTGATCTCAAAGCGAGTCGTTTGGTATCTATGTAATCGATCATTGGTTGATAATAATTTATTCCGCATCCGTAATTTCTTTCGTAGATATACGTTGGATAATGTCGCCATTTTGATTCCAATGGCATATGAATTGGTGGCATGTAACCCGTCATTTTTATGAAAGTTTTTAGATATTCACACTTTTAATTTAAATAGCTCAAAGATCTGTTGAAGGAAGGAATAATAACTGATGTAATAAATCGTTGTTATAATTTTTCTTTTCTAAAGAATTTTGATTATACTCTGCTCATCTAACATTTTATAGATTTTTCCCAACCTTCTGATAAAGTTTTGATGAAATATATTGTCGATTTTTTTAAAATATTTGTGATTTGTATGGACAGATGTAAAGATAATGATGATCCTTATGAGATGACCGTTGATAAAAATTAGGCCGATGCTTAAGTCGTATCTTTTGTAGTTTTCATTGCGATTGCCTCATTGGGGACAACCAATCAGCACCTCTCAATAATAATTGGATCATGTCTGATCGCTTTATCACACTTATTAATAGTGCATTTATTAATAGTTTTATTACTATATAATTGCTATCGTTTGTTCTTACCAATATCAATTTTTATTATATTTTCTATTTTATTTCTGTAATGATGTTAGTAACAAAATGTTCATAATTAGTTTTAATGTTATATAAATTTATAATCTTTAATTGTTGTAAAATATTATTAATACTTTTATAATGTTATTAATACTTTTAAAATGTATTAAATATTACTTGATTGATACTTATATTTCATCTTACAATAATATTTTTACAATTTGTGTGTTACAGACTATCAAAATTGAAAAATTGAAATGTCAAGAATAATTTCGCACATACGTGTAATGTTTGATATAATTTTTCTATAAAAAGTAAAAATAAATTTTAAAATTAATTATATTTTCGTGAATACATATATCTTTTTTCCTCTTATATTATTATATTTCTCGCAAGTTTTCGCAATAGATGTTTTGTAAGTTTAAAAAAATTTTTTTTTAAAACTTTCATAATAATTGATAATATCAAATTAAAAATTAATTTAATAATGTGATATTAATTTCAAATTTGATGAGTACGTTCAAGACCGAATAGTAATCGTTTATAGTTGAAGGACAGAAATGGAATGTATAATTTTTTTTAATCCCAGGTTGGAGTAATATAAATCTTATTTGAAAATAACAAAAAGTAACTTTTCTTTTTAAATAGTATATAATTTTAATTAGAAATTGCTTTATGATGTAATAGATTTAAAAATAATATAGACTATTAATATGAAAAGATTATTCAATAAATAAATTGATTCAATCAAAGTTATTAAGAGTATATGTAGCAAATAAAAAATCAAACAGTTATTTTTAAAAACTTACCGAATAATTTCAATCTCTTCATCCTTTTCAGCAATGCGACGATCGAACTCGTGACGCAATTGGCTCAATTCGGCTGACAATCTTTGAGCACGTTGCTCTTCAATTTTGCGGCCCTAAATCAATTTTATTTTATATTTACTTTTTAATATCTTTCTTTTCTTTATTTATTATTATTTATGTAGTTTTTCTTAATTTTTTATCAAGTTAATTTTATAGAACAATATTCAGAATCAAGAGTTTATTTGAATTCTTTGTTAAAAACTTATTTCTTAAAAAGTTTAATTGAAATTTATTAACAATATTTGAATTTATCAGTTTTTGAATATTTTTAGAATTTATAATAAGAAAATTTAATTTTTACTAGCTAATAAAGTTCTAAAATTTGAAAAACACTAACTTAAAATATTATTTAATTTATCATCATATTTAATTTAAATTTAATATGTAATTAAATGTATGTAAACTAGTGTGTCATAATTAATATTTCGTAAAGAATGTACTGATACTTTGGTTTATAGTTAAATCTAAACCTAGCTGTACGCTAATTGAATAAAAACAATTTTTAAAAAATTGTTATGATATTTAACTTTTAAATAAATTTTTAAAATTAGCAAAATATTATTTATATATATTAAGAAATATAAATAATTATTAACCTAATTATTAACCTAAAGTATTTATTAAAACATAATAATTGCTGAATAAATTATGTATATAAAATAGAAAACTGTCTTATTAATAGTGACACTATGTTCACATAAGGCTTAGTTTTACACGTCTCATCGGGAAGTAGTGTTAATATATCAAAATTTTTTTAAGTTTTTTTATATTTCAGCTTATTAAAAAAAATTTTAATTATAAATATTATTGCTTTATTCTTATATGTCTTTAAGATAATATTCATGCATAAATATAAATAATTACTTACTGCTTCGGCTTCCTTGTAAGCAGCAGCCAATTCTTCACGCTCGTTCTCCAATCGGCGAAGTTCCAGTTCGAGTTCATGGAGTCTACGATTCATGTCAGCCAACTGATTCTTTGCGTCACTAAGATCATCTACAGAAATATTATTAAAATTAATAAATTTTGTAATTTAAATATCCAAATTATTTCTACTGAATAGTGAAAATACTCTATTCAAGAAAAGAAATCTTGATTAAACGATTATGCGATAAAAATTTATAAATTATTAGATAAAAAATTTTTTCACATTTAAGTGAAAAATAATTTGTAAAATAGTAATTGATGATAAAAATCACAACTTATAATTGCTGCATTTTCAAATTGCAGGAATAAGAAAACGATGATCACCTCCAAGTTTCTTGTTCTCACGGGCCAATTGATCTTTCATTTCGCGGGTCTTGTCGAGTTCGGCATTTACACGTTGCAATTCCTGTTGTTTATTGCGGAGATCGCGCTGACTTTGTTCGTACATGGCAAGAGTTTCGTCCAAGCGAGTCTTTAATTCTATGTTGATCTTTTCCAAATGTTCAACACGTTTTTGAAGTTCACGAGCAGTTGCATTGGCCTTAAAAAAATTCACAAAAATATAAAAAATTATTTTCTCTCTATAAAATATTCATTTTTAAAAAAGAGATGTCAGCATACAGCTCATAATAAAACGTAATAAAATCTTACCTTTTCTAAATCAATGATCAGAACCTCCACTTCAGATTGCAAGCGCGATTTCTGCTTTTCAAGATTGTTGATCTTTACGAGCAAAGTTTCGATTTGCTCTTCTTGTTCTTGAATGCGAGCAGAATATTTACGACGAAGTTCTTCTACCTACATAAAATTATGTTAAATTTTTATTAGCAATTTACAACATCAAATTTTGATATAAATGAGAAGAAAAGAATCAATATAAATAAGAAAGCAAGTTGACATATATTTAATTATATTTTTAATAAAGTAATAAATAATAATATACCTCTTCGATACGAGCGTTAGCTTCGGTTTCGTATTTCGATCGCCATACCGAGACTTCTCCATTAGCTTTAACCAATTGACGTTCAATATCCAAACGAGCTTCAGATTCTTCTTCCAGTTGAACGCGAACAGATTCCAATTCCACTTCGACCTGTTGATAATTTTATCTTATATGTTTTTCAAAAAAATTTCTTTTAATGTTTTTAGATAATATTATATTCTAAGTTTATTTTCTTAATATTTAAAATAAAAAGAAGGTTAAAATAATTAATCTTTCTATTTTTTCAAGTTTTTAATAAAAAACATTATATCAATTTATATAAAATGTTTATGTAAAAAATTAATAATTTGTAAAACAGAATATAAATTTTTAATATGATAATGAATGTTATTTAATTATTTAATAAATTCTAACCTTTTATATTAAAATAAATTAAACTATTAAAATAAATTACTTAAAATAAATTATCTATTTTGAAGAAAGTCATCGAAATCAATAAAATTATACCTGATGCAAAGAAGCTTCGACCAATGAACGACGACGTTCCTCATCTTCAAGACGACGTCGGGCATCCTCAAGTTGACCAGCAATTTGCGTTTTTAGATAGGTAATGTTTTCGATGTTTACCTAGAATTTTATTTAAATTAATGATTTGTGATACATTAAAAAATATAATTACATTTTACTTAAATATCTATTGTCATACCTTGAGGTCTTGTACTTCTTTGACTAGCTCAATATTCTCTTGAGATAACCGAGTTTTATGACTGGTGATATCGACAATCGTACGATTCAATTCCTCAATTTTGACATTTAATTCAGATACATGTATCTCGAGTTTCTCAACTGTTTTCATTGACATCAACTTTTCTTTAGTGACATTGTCAAGTTGAGCGAGGAGCTCGTACACTTCTTGTTGAAATTTAGATTTTTCCTTGTCAGCTCTAAAAATTATAACATAATATTGCTAGAAAATAACTTTGTTTCTAGAATAATATTTTATTATTAAAAAAAATAATATTTGTATAAAAAAATAATTAATGCGTAAAGTAATTAAATTTTTATACAATTCAATGGATGTATAAAATATTGCTTGTATTCATAATATCGTCATTTAATATTGAAAGTTTCTGTTTTTATCTTTTTACTATAATAATAAGATTGGATAGATTTAGGTAAAAATATTTGAATAATGTCCATAATATGTTAAAGACAAAAGATAATAAATTTATATTCAATTTATTATTGTTTATTAAATTTATTTTTATTTATTATTATATTAAATAAGCACAAAATAATAAAAACATATTTTAAAACATTTTAAAAATATTTAAATAATATTTATCGATTTACAAAGCAAGCTGCATATTTTTTTACATTTATAATAATTTTATAAAAATAATTATAAATTTTCCTGAAATATGTCAGTAATATTACATATTATAAAAAAGAAGATTTTATAAAAGGATTTGATATATTTAAATTAATAAAATAATACATATCTTACCAAAGAAAAACATGACATACAATCTTAGTACGTCTTTTATGCTTAATGTGCATTGAAAAAAGATGACGAGCAATTCCATTTTTTTGGAGTCAACAAAGAAATTTGGGCAATATTAGATCTACTCCTACACGCGGTAGAGGGTGTAAGGTGTCAGTTAGCCGATTCCGAAGATAGTGGGGGTTCTCTGGCCGGTCGCGTGTACTAATATGGCGCGCCAACGTTGGGGTTGTGGATTACCGCGCGACTCGCACGGTTAAAAATAGTCATAAGCCAAGTAACCATGCGAGCAAAAGAAAGATAGAGAGAACGAGAAACATACGAGAGAGATAGAGGAAGATATGTTTTTATACTGAAATAAAAAAGAGAGAAGACTGAGCAGAATTACAGCAAATCTTATACATTCCTTTTCACAGATTCACAGATTTGATGTCACGCGAAGAGAAAAAAGATTTTTTACTTGTTTATAAAATAGAAATTGAAAGATTGATTTTTGAGGAGAACATTTTGAAATTCACAAGAGAAAATTTATAATAACAACTAACGGTAAGCAGAATTAAAAGATAATATAAGATTGAGAGAGTAAAAATAAATATGTCATTTATCAATTCTCTTGACTCTTGATTCTCCTGCTTTTATAATATTCAAAAATTTCACAGTTAATGTCACAGTTGCGTGGTAGGTTACCACCGGTTTATAATCGGCAGTGAAATCATGAGGAAAATGTAACTGGATTATATTTGATACTATTTGCGTCGTTGGATTGCTGAACCGAAGTAACAGCTGCATTGATTACCTTATATTTTTAGCAACTGTGTACTTTTGAATTAAATTTTGAATAGTATATTTTCTAAATAAATTTTTGATCTAGTAACATATTGTAAACATACGATAATATACAATTTTTGTTTGTGTTGTATAATAAAACTTTAAATATTGAATTATATATATATATATATATACATATATATATATATATTATATAAATATATATATATTATATAAATATATATATATATATTCTTTTTTATTATATAATTCGATTATGATATAATTATAAGTATCAACAAATAGCCTATTATAAATATGTATGCTTCAAACTTTGAAACATTCAAATGCATCATTCTATAAAAAGAACATCATTGTGACGTTTACTAAACTTTATTTTACAGGTAACAGTTAATTACGGAATGCATTGAGTTTTCTCCAAATCAAAATACTTACAATTTATTTTGTACTTTTTTTTAAATAAAAAATGCATTTAAATAGTTTGTGAACTTTCATATTAAAAGAAAAGGTTAATGTATTCAAGATTCTAATTTTGTTTTAAAGAAATATTTGAAATGTTCATCCATACAACGAAGTTTTATCTTTTAAACAATTCATTGTTAAATAGCAATTGTCTGGCTTTCTTTAATTGTTCCATTTTCTATTCCATTTTCAAAAGTTAAAAAAAAAAAGCGAAACTAAAACCGGTCATGGACGCTGTGCGGCTAATTAGCGATTTAATTAATGTGTGTTTCCGTAGCTGTCACCGTCCTTGTACGAACGAATCAGCGCCTCGAAGAAGCGACTATGTTTAGAAAAGCCGGGATACTGAATCCTCGTGTATTTCAGTTGCGGGTCGCTTTCTATCTTGGATTATAGCCAGTGCAACTTGTATAATTCGCACAAATTTTCTTACATACAGTCATTCTCGTTTGTGACGAGCCGCGTTATAATTATCTCCGTGACACTGTAATTCATTACGCTTCCTGCCTCTTAGCATCTTGTCTTTTTCTACATTGCGAGATTCTACTTCCTTTTGAAATCGCTATTCGCTATTCGCGCCGAATTTCCGAACAAGTTTTCAGCTGTTTATTGACGCTTCCTGGCGGCACGCGCTTATACGCTTCCAGTTTTAAACAGAAAATTAGCGAATGTTTACGTTGAGGCTGCTTTGCGATCGCGAACGTATATACGTCTATGCACTTTTTGAGATGTACAGAGTTCTGGTCTCAGTCAACTATTTCAGTTTTTCTGGTGAAGATATTAAATTTAAAAATTCAATGTCCTTATAACTGAGATAAATAGTGAGTTATACAAATTAAGATGTTAAAAGTGTTTGAAAGTGAAACTTATATTATTAAAGCGTTTAATTAATGATAAAAGTTTTATTAATCATATTTCTTCATTACCAACCTGGCACGCGCTTTCGAAAGCTGGTCAATTTGATCCTGAAAATCGACGACAACTTCCTGATGCTTCTTGCGTAAGAGATGTGCGGTTTCCTCGCTTTCGAGATGGACATCTTCGAGTAGTTTACGCAGCTTGGCCAATTCCGTGTCCCTCTTCTTGTTGATCTCAAACTAAACAAAGAAATTATTAATTCATATATGTAATTAATGAAATAATTAACATTTAATTATTTAATGTTACTTTTTTTCTACGTTATATTTAATCTACACAACAAGAAAATTATTTTCATAAAATGTTAAATACTCACTTGAGATTCGGCGCCACCCTCAGCCTCTTCGAGACGTTCGGATAGCTGGATGACTTGCACGCTTAAATCAGCGCGCTCGCGTTCGATCTACAAGTTCACAAAATTATAAGAAAAAGAAAAAAATAGATAATTTATAACAATATTATTGACATTTAAAAATTTATGGATTAATAATTTTATATAAAGTCTAGATTGCAGAGAACTGATTTTTGAAAATAAATTATTGATCGATAGAATAAGAATATGTATGAAAAGGGATTTGTATAAAAAAGAATTTGCAAAACTTGCTTCTAAGATAATTTCAAACATGATGTTTAAATTAAAATTGACAAAAACGATATAATATACTCAATATATAAATATAATATAAATATACTCAATATATTTATATTACTTAATATATTATTTTATATTATTTCATACATTTGAAACAAATAAAAAATAAATAGTATAATTTTTTATCAGAGGTATATAATATTTTTAGCTGTTTTTTAACTTGAAAAATTTATGTCGTACGTTTTTTTCTGTAAGTTAGTATTATGTAATTACATGCAAAATTATATTCTCAAAAATAACTTTTGATGATAAATGAAATTAATTTAAGGCTATTGTTTTTATAAAAAACAAAAAAATTACGTGATGATGTGTTTTTTGAGTAGTAGCTTCCCTTCATCAAGTCACTTCCCTACATCATGAATAGGACAATCTATTTTTGAGCACGGCGTGTCTATATTGGGAGTCTTATTCATATTACAAACGAGGCGGTTTTATCGCGAAAAAGGAAGATTGCGCTACTATTATTACGATCAATTGCAAATTATGAATTAAAAGTTATATATTTAATAGTTTTTATTTAATATATGTGATTATTATTTTAACCAATATTATTTAAAAGACATCTAATATTATTTAAGGGGCATCTAATAATTAGAAGATAAATGCTTATAATAAAAAATTATTATTATTAACATCTATAAACAATATATATAAATTTATTAATATATGTAACGAATACGAATATATTAATATTAAACTTCTGCATTTTCTAAATTTTATTATAATTATGCAACACATAATTTGATGATTAAAATAAATTAAATTATGTTATGTATTTATATCTGTATTATAAAAAAATATACAAATTATCTATTTTCGCGT